ACGTTGTCAACCAAATAAATCAATTATTCTTATAAATAAGATTTAAAAGAATTTTAGCATCAATTCTTTTTTCAATTTTTTCAGAACACATATTCGGTCTCAATATTGATTTCAAAAAAGAGAAAGAACGTTCAACACTACATGAAGTGACTGCGATCAACTTCATTTTTCTCATCGCTTCTCGAATTAATGGAAAACGTCTTTTTTCTTCGTCATTGAGCAATTTCCAAAAGAAGAATGTATTCATAAATACAATTGGACCTTCTTTATTAAACAAGTTCAACATTTCTTCTTTCCATTGTCTGTATTCAACACGACTTTTTAATATACATATTTTTTTCAATTTTAAAATTCGATCAACATCACTCATTGTTGATGCGTCATCAGTTTCTTCTTCCATAGAATTGACTTCATAATGGCTTGTTGAATGAAATTTTTCTACGATAGATTTAAAATCTTTGGATATTCTAATTTTTGGGAGTTGAATCTGAGATAAAGTGCAATTTTTTTGTTTATCCCTTACACTTTCGAACTCTGGTTTCAGTTTGATTATATGTTCAAATTCCTTGACTTCCTTTTCTTGCTCAGAATTATACCGGTAATACCTCGGACGCTCAATATTGTTGGGAATCAAATTTAACGATATGTCAGTTTTAAAATCAAAATCATTTCGTTCGTACAACTGTTCAAAGTGTCCAAAATGTGTCAGTTTGAAATCACTTTGACTAACTTTTGTTTGTGTTGAATCGTTATCATTTGGCATGACAGTCGTGACTTTGTTTAGAGGATCACTGAAACGGAAAATTAACGACTTTAGAAAATTTTCTGTTATTGACAAGCACACTTCTTTAAGATTCTTCATTTGATCTGAATTATTAACTTCTCTAATAAAAGGTAATTGTTCAAACTCCTCTGTGTCAATAAAACTTCGAGTTTCAAACAAATGTTTGATCAGATCAAATATTCTTTGTAAAGCTACTGGAAACTCCAAATCAACACTTTGCAACCAGTCGCTGATGACTCTGACTTTTGAAAACATCATTTCACAAAAGAACAACACGCCCACAAAAAGATTATTAGACAATTTTGGAACACCGAGTTTGTTTTCTTTGACTTTTTCAGTAATTTTCATTTCAAATCTTTCCAATTCAAGATAATTGCTATATGTGTCAAAGCATTCAAATAAAACTGATGATACAGAAGCTACAAAGTTGAAACGCGTGTTGCTAAACGACTGCATCTTGAGCAACACATCATCAATTTTGTTTTGATGTATATAGTTGGTCCAGCCCGTTCTCAGATGGTCTTGTGTCAATTTTTCAAGAAATTCTTTGATCAAAAGACCTTCATTGAATTTAAAAGAGTCTTCAAGCGCGATGTCAAGCCTGTGGTTAAAACAATAATTGGACTTAAATATTGACTGTTTTTCAGTATCCAAATGTGCAATAAGTTTTCCAGAAAGACCGTTTAGTTTTGATTTCATAGTGGTTGCTCCATCTACTGTCAAACCACGACAATTATTGATATCAAGACCAACATCTGAAAGACATTCCATTATCCATTCATCCTAACCAGCTGCATCGTGTTTTCCATAAAAAGAACGGATTGAAATCTTTTTTTCTTTTGGTGATTCATCTTTTCCAATAAATCTCACAAACAATGAATAGTGTTCGTCTGTCCCAGTCTTTGAAGAATCGGCTATCAAATGATATTCGCTTTGTGTGTTAATTAGCGGTTCTATTTCTTTAATGGAAACTTCTCGAAATGTTTTCATGTGGTTTTCAACCGTTCTTGCACAACAATTCACATCAAATTTCATCATACCGACATCGCGAATATTCATGACAATTTGTACAAATTCCAACAACAATTCAATTTGTGTTTCTGATAGATTCATAAACCCACAGTACATTGATGCTATAGTAATAAAATACTTTTGTCTTTCTTTACCACCTTTAATAGTCGTTGTAATTTTTTCGACATTTTTACCCAATGATAATTGAATATTACGAATAATTTCGCGTGATACTTGTTCATTACCCAAATTATTCATCTTCGAATGATCAAGAACATCAGTGATGAAATTAAATCGTTCCAATTCTTCTCTGTTGTTTTTTGTTGAATCGTTTCTTTTGTTGATGTACTTTGCTGTGTTGTATACGGTTGTGAATGTAATATGTTAAAAAAGGGTCAACAATTGTTTTTTGTACATTGTTGACAGTTAAATTCAATCCATCTGATGTCTGAATGTTATTTGACAATTCGGGAAGATTATCACATATTTTGTCATCACATTGACTCGTCAGAATCGTTGATTCAATTGAATCATTTTGATAATCAATAATTTTTATTGATTCTTCAATAGGAGCCATATTCATACTCATCAAATGTAAATTCATATAGATATCTCTAAGCTCGAAAAAAAGGGCGTTCTTAATTTCATCTTCATCCTCTTTATTAACACCAGTTAGACTAATTTGTTCTTCAATTTCATTTTCAAAAATTGCTGCAATAATG